TTAGAACAGGAACATACTGATTCAAAGTAGTAACATCAACAGTATGAAATATCTGAGGGACTTTTTTTGAGTAAAGACTCAGGAAAGTTGCATGCTTCAGCTCAGTTTATGACTTCCAGGGAGCTCCACTTAAAGGAGGTAGTCTCTGCCCCTTATCTGTTTATCTAACCATCAGCAATGGGGGCTCTGAGGGTCTTGAGAATATGAATTCCCCATGCCTATCACATCTTACTTCCTAAGGTTAATGAGGTGACTCCCCCCCCGCCAGAATGGGATGTTTCCATCAAATGCAAATTGTTGTTGGTCAAATCCCAGCTACTTCATGATGAGGAGGAATGAATGCTTCTCTAGCACTGAGGCACACATGTTGGCGAGATGGTCTTCTGGCATCAGTAATCTACCACAGAAGTCTACTTAGAGACAGTGCCAGACGTTTGTCTTCTGGGTAACTAGAGATCTCATCAACTGAACATTTCATGCATTCTGGGTAACTGAGTTTGAAAGTCATCTATATTGTGGTGATCTCATCAGAAATAGGTGTCCTGTCAATGAGATAGAGGTATACTTATTTATCTTCCTTATCATGCCTGGGAGGATGGTCTTTCCATGTACCTGAAGGATAGGAGTCTGTATATTCCCCAGAGATCCCAATCTCCACAGGAGGCAGTACTTTAATGACTCAGGTCCCTTCATCCTGATTCCATTTATGTTTCCTTATCCCATATTCATATGGATCCTGCTATCTATCCAACCATGTCTTCATGTCTATAGGACAAGCAATTTTCCATATCACCCCTTCACTCTGGTCATCCGTTTGCAGTGTTAATTTCTCTGTGCACTCTCTCCATTGCTTCTCCTATTACTTAGAATACATTGTTCTGTAGGCTCCACACTGTCTCCCAGTTTCTGCCATATCAGTCATTTCTTGGTGAAATCCTCTCAGCTGGGGTATCTGTGTATGGATCGCTGTAATACATGAGGCTGTCACTTGACATGTAGTCCCCTGTAACATCATGTTGGCGTCTGCTTTGTTTAAAGACAAAACAACCATTTCCTTAGCCAAACATAAGAGACCAGCCTAACAAAAATTTAGTCACACAACTGGGTCACATGACAATCGTGCCTCTTCGGTGTGTAAGGTAACTTAGTGGGTGTGGGGGAAGTCCAGGAGTTAACTTGTTCTAACTCCAGTGTACACAGAGTGGCACTAGATGTCTCTCAATTGCCAAGCTCATCCAGAATGTGCCCCAAACTTACAAAATATTTGTTCAGCCCAAGGCCCAGTGGCCTTTCAGTTTTAGCACACTTGACACTCTCTTGAAACTCACTATCCATCATGTCGTCCTGATAACAGCTCCTATTGCTAAAAAATTCCCAGTATGCTATTACTTGTCTCAGACACTTCTACTCATGAGGTCACATAACTTTGATGAACCTTTATTAAGTCTCCACTTGCCTTAAAGCAACCCAATGCAAGATAACCAGACTGAAAACTGGGCTTCTTGGTTGTGCTCACATCCTGAGTGAGGGAGGCCAGAAAGGACCACCTGTGGTGGCTGCAGAGGGCTCTTGACCAGGAGCTGCCATGTTAGCAGTAGGGGAGCATCCATTCTGCATGTCTTCATCCTTTTGAAAACTTAATCATCCAGTAGCCCTAACCAGCCAGGGAGGCCAGGCCCCGACTCACAGTGGCCTTGTGGTGTGGGGTCACTTTTACTATGCTGGAGGGTCCCGGCTAGTAGCTCTCCAGTTGGAGAAGCTATAGTTGTTCCTAATGCCAGCTCTTTTTAATAGGTTTCCAAGCCTGCTTCCTGTACATGGACTTTCTTTATCTTTCATGACATGGAGACTTACTATTAATTATGAAGCTTGAGCCTTAGATTAGGCTTGTTTCTAACTAGCTTATAACTTAAATTAAGCCATATTTTTAAATCTATGTTCTTCCCCTATGCTCATGACCTCATCTCCCTTAGGCCCATCCTGGTTATTCCTCATCTGGCTTCTGACTCCACCTTTCTCCTTCCCAGAGCTCTCTGACCAGAAAGTTCTGCCTACACCTCCTGCCTAGTTACTGACTGTTTGGCTCTTTAATAACCCGATCTCAATGTAACAAATAGAAAGTTTTTAGCTCTAATGCAATAAACTGTATACAGTAAGAACAATTATCAGGCAAGAATTACATTTACAATGTCCAATTTGCATTTGGCAAATTTAGAGATAGTACTACATTATCTATCCTATCTTAATCCAAAGCATTATCCCTAACCCTTTTTGCCATAACTAGTATTACCATCCTAAAAATATGTTTAGACCTCAAAACATCTTAAGTTGTTTATGTCTCTCGAGCTTATAAACATTACATCTCTCATGTAAGCTTCTGTTTTGAATTTGGTAACAAAGGAAACTAACATTGGGACATCCATCTTCACCTACAGGCCTAGAATATCTGACAGAATTTTCTGTGAAGCAGGAATTTTGAAGGACTATCCTACATTGTCTTGGTATATTTCAGCAAACACTTTTCTGGCTAGCTTTGCCACAAACAAAGCAATCTCCATATGTAGGTTCTTTGGTGTCCATTAAAGTAAATTGATACTATCAGGAGCAGATATGTCTCATTGTTATGAAAAGCCTTATGTTATTAAAACATTTTAAATGCTATATTTTGTAGGTCTTGATGTGTTTGAAGATCATGGATCTAGCTAAAATAAATCTTTGTATATTCTTGAAAAAAATACCTAACATGACTATAAGTTTGATTATTGTAGATGATTATTAAACTGCGTTTCTTTATTATCTTAAATAGCGTTCAGGGACTAAAACTTTACATTTCAAATGAGCTGCATGGGTACAAAATCTTAATCAAGAATAGAAACATATATACAATATAACAAAAATAACCTGAAATTTGTTTCGATATACAAAAATCCATACCAATGTAAAATATTTGAGACTAGCGGTTGTTCAAAAGTAGACTGAACAATCTTCTCTTTTATAGAGATTATTTTATTTCCCATTCTGATGATCTCATTTTAAAATCAGTTTCTGTGGATCATTGGTTTTCCCCAGGATGTTCTACTTCTTTCTTCAAAGACATTTTTATAAGCTCTTTGCAGCTACTAATTTCACTCTGTTCAAAGACCTTCAGAAGGTTCCCGTTTACTCTGGCTCACAAGCCTGTATTACTCCACCATTTGCAATCCTTGGTGAGAGTTTTCATGGCTTCACTTTCAGTTTCAAAAATTTCACATTCAGTTACCATTTAACTTTATCCCCAGGTTCCTTTGTAGTTTGTCCATCAACCTCCTTGTATTCTTCTTCCTGTTAACCTATCTTGATCATGGTTTGATGATCTAGGTATTACTGCTAATCCGCTAAATGCTTTATTATAGCTCTGATACTGGGTATTACTGCCTTTATTTCTATCATTGGCACTATAGCTGCCTCTACTGCGGCCCTTGAACAACATAAAAACATTGTCTAAGAATGTTTCTGATACTTTACTCAAGAACCTGTTGATAAGGGCCTTGTTAATAGGATTAATGCATTGGAGGAAGAGGTTTCATACATGGGTACACAGACTCAAATATTAAAGTTAGACTTACTGCTGTTTGTTACACAACTTATAAATGAATTTGTGTTACAACATTGTCTTACAGTGGCTCTGATTATTCATGGGGACAAATTCAGGGGTCATATTATAGGGAACAGTTCTAATATAGATATGAATATTCATTCTCTCCATGAACTACCTTTTCTCATGCACATCTTTAGATGTTCTCTGCCGAGAAGATAAAAATCTCTCTCATTTTTTAATTCAGTTACCTCTTTTGTAATTATAAAAACTTTTGGACATTTATCATTAATTTGGTTGTTGCTCTTGGTTTATTATAAATTTAGTCTTTTTTTGTGATTTAAAAAAAAAGACTTGCCCTTCTCATAGTCCTTCAAGTTTCAATTAAAAATCAAAATAGGAACAGAGGATGAAGAGAATCATACAAGTCCACAATGCCCTCATTTTAACAGCTGTGCCAATAGTGTAGGAAGGTGAGAGCAGGACATGAAATAAGGGATAAGCAGTGCCAAATATTAAGAGTAACCTTTTTAGTTATGTAGTTTAGAGGCAAAATTCTGTCACTTTGCCTGACGCTTTAATGATAAGTGCTGCCAGCTAGACATACTGTGCGACTTGTAGGTGTGCCTAGTTAGAAAACTTCCTTTGTTGCTTGCTATACTGCTTATGTTTCTAATATTAAAGCTACAAATCAAATAGGTAATGATTACCATGGGAAAGTTGAGGGACAAAAAGGGAATAAAGTATGGGAACCAATTGGCAATTATTGTACTTATAACTAGAAACTTAAGGAAACATGACTGTAAAATTGTTCATGCAAACTACTGAAAGTGTATAAATAAAAATGGTTCAGGCTATCAAGGGCTACTTGCTTGAAACAGGTGATCACAATTTCATCATTGTGCTGACTTCTTTCCCAGGGCATCAGACCTGTTGGGAATTAGGAGTTAGTTTCCCAGTACTCTTACATTTAAATTAACCCATATTACTTTTCTGTGCTTTGTCACGAGGCTCATGGCTTGTTGTCTCATTTTCTACATATCCTAATTTCTTATCAGCTAGCTGGCATCTATCTCCTCATTACTCTCCTCTCCCCTCAGCACTCAATGAAGTTTGTATTCAGAATGATACATCTGATGTGTTTTAAGGGCTGAAGTGTAAACTTTTTAAGACATTTGTGGTATTTCTCTCCAATATGAACAATCATGCATCTAGTAAGGCTATAAAAATTAACAGTCTTTACCACATTCCCCACCCTTTTTAGGGACTGTGTTCAGAATGAATTCTGTCTCTTTTTCTGTGTGTCTCTCTCCTTGCCTAAGAGATGAAGATGAGCACAAATGTTTGCCAACTCTTCACACTTGATGGTTTTTCTACAGTATGGACTGTCTGAGGTTCCTGAAGTTATGCAAAGTAGGGAGAACTTTTCCACACTCTGCACACATGGAGGAATTGTCTTAAGCGTGGAGTGTTTATATTGTCTAAGGCACAAAGATGAAGAAAAATATTTGCACACACTTCACACTATTAGGATTTCTCTGAAGTATGAACTCTCTTGTGTCTCCAAAGGGATGAGCTATTACGAAAGGCTTCATTACATTCTTCACACTTGTATGGTTTTTCGCCAGTATGAATTGCTTGATGTCCCCGAAGACTCCTAGAACAGGAAAACCGTTTGCCACATTCTATACACTTATAGGGGCTGTCTTCAGAATGGATTATTTGATGACGTTTAAAGAAAAAGTATGAGCAAAAACATCTGCCGCACTCCTCACACTTGTAGGGATAGTCTTCAGAGTGACTTGTCTGATGTCGTCTAAGGGTTGAAGATGAGAAAAAACATTTCCCACACTTTTTGCACTCATAGGATCTCTCTGCAGTATGAACTCTCCTGTGTTTCCAAAAGGTCGAATATTTACGGAAGCCTTTGTGACATTCTTCACACTTGTATAGTTTCTCACCAGTATGAATTGCTTGGTGTTCCCGAAGACTCCTAGAACAGGAAAACCATTTGCCACACTCCCCACACTTATAGGGGCTGTCCTCCGAATGCATTGACTGATGTCGTCTAAGGGATGAAGAGGAGGAAAAACATTTGCCACACTCCTCACACTTGTATGGTTTCTCTCCAGTATGGACTGTCTGATGCTCTTGAAGGTGTGAAAAGTAGGAAAACCTTTTGCCACACTCCGTACACTTATAGGGATTGTCTTCAGAATGGATTGTTTGATGTCGTCTAAGGGATGAAGACGAGCAAAAACACTTGCCACACTCCTCACACTTGTAGGCTTTCTTTGCAGGGTTAGCTGCCTTGTTCCCAATGAGAGAAGCAGGCTTAGTAAATTCTTTCCCACTCACTTCACACTGGTACGACTTTTTCTGCAATATGAATTTTCATGTGTCTCCAAAAGGATGAGTGATAACGAAAGGCTTTGTGACACTCTTCACACTTATATGATTTCTCTTCAGTATGAATTATTTGATGTACCTGAAGGCGTAGAGAACAAGAAAAGCTTTTTCCACAGTCTTCACACTTGTAGGGGTTGTTTCCTGAATGGATCCTTTGATGTTGCTTAAGGTATGAAGGGGAAATAAAAACCTTTGCCACATTCTCCACATTTGAAGGGTTTCTCTCCAGAATGAATTCTTTGATGTTGCTTCAGCATTGGAAGATAGTAAAATGATTTATCACATTCTTCACACTTGTATGTTTTTTCATTAGTATGGTTTTTCTGGTGTATAAAAAGTGATGAGCGTGTATTGAAGGCCTTATGACATTCTTTACACTGGTAGGGTTTCTCTCCAGTATGAAGTCTCTGGTGTATAGAAAGCGTTTTATAAGAACTAAGGGCCTTACCACATTCTTTGCACTTGTAGGGTTTCTCCCTTGTATAAATTCTCTGGTATGGAATATGTTCTGAGTTATAATCGATGGTCTTGTTGTAAATGTTATAATCATCGGTTGTTCCTGTTGAGCAAAAGTTGAAATATGAACAAAAGCTAAGAAATATTCTTTATTATTATACTGCTTATATTTTTTTAAATGCTTACTTTTATATTGAGAGATTTACTTATGCATATTGAACCATCGATAAGAAACTACAATAATTTTCAATAGGTACTGAGCATGGATGATAAACTACTGTAGCGAGGAATAATCTATACTCCTACTAGAATAAGGGCACAACCAAATAGAACATAGACATAATGAAATATTATTCAAAGTTTAAAAAGCTAAGTAAGTTGTAAGAGCATTTTACTAACAGAAATAAGCTCATTAAACTGTACAGATATTAGATATCTAGACACCATGAAATAAAGTAGCCAGGCCTGGAAAAGAAAAACTTAATGGTGATTGTATGGTTCTGAATCATCATCAAAATACAAAATTTTTATCCTCCACATAGTTTTATTTTGGAAGTTACAAAGAATATGCTTGCTGCACAAGATTAAATAATACAGTTCAAAAACTCAGGGCAGTGTTTTATTTGGATGACAAGAAAATATATACTTGAAACATATTAAGTCACAGTAAAAAACAAAACAAAAAACCTTCAGGTTCACCTGTGAATTACACTAATTGTGCTGAGACAATGTATTTGTCAATGAATAGATGAAAAAATGAGTTATTTCATATTTTTTTTTTGTTTTTTTTTTTTTTTACAAAAGGGTTTCTCTGTGTTGATCTTGCTATTCTGGAACTCATTATATAGACCAGGTTGGCCTCAACATCAGAGATCCACTTTCCTCTGCCTCCCAAGTACTGGGATCAGTGCAGTATGTCACCATGCCTAGGCAATAATATTGTGTATTTCTAAGATTTATTTATTTACAAGAGTTTATAGTTATTGGGCCCTAACTAGAGAGACAATGAACAAGGCGTGCAAACAGGAGACTTGTGTTTACACATGAAGTAGAAATTCACAGAGCAAAGCTCACAGATATTTTGTAATCTTATACTGACTATATACTTTATGCTGTCTCAGCTTTGGTTTTGTTCCTTACTTTCTGTTGCTTTCCCTGACCCCCCCCCCCCTTGTGGAGCAGAGAGTCAGTCACTGTCTGAGCTCAGTTCGATTCAAGGCTCCTGGAAGCTGAGGGGTTCTGTTGTCCCCATCTGTGTTCCATGAGTGGTGCCAACATCCATTCAGAGGCTGCGTTAGCAGGTCTGGGAAACTCCATGTCTATTCCTTTTAAGCTGTTCATCCTGGACACTGAGATCCCCATTAAGGTCTTGTCAAAAAACCAAGCCTAGTCAACTCCTAGTCACATTCCCTCAAAGAATACTCTGGCTGGTGGGGACTAAGCTCACTGGTCTATCCATGTGCAGTAAGGTCCACATAGGGACAGTACCTTCTCTTTTTCAGAACACAGGTTACTTGGTAGCCACCATACCAGTACATGCAGAGTGGGCAGGAGAGGCGTACCCATATATCCAAGGAGCTTAGATAGCTTCTAGGACTCTAGCTCAGGATGAGGACAAGATGTTGCAGTCAGCCTTTCTGTGAAAGAATTCCTCACCTACACTGCTTGTGCATAAAGACAGAAATAACAGCCAAGATGGGTCTTTTCTACTGGGTCCACAAGCCTGCTTCCTCTGAGATAAGACATTAATTCTGTCTATTCTTGGGACTCCTTTGCCCTGTGGCTGAGCTCAGCCTTCCTCTCTGCTCCAACAAGCCCGGATACACTTGCTTTCACTTCTAGAACTTTCTGAGTCACTTCAATGTCTAGTTTTATGGCTTATAGGTTTAAATGTCTCTAGGCTGCAGGTACCTATCTATTTTAAGCTTAGAGGTTGATCCACAAAGAAGTTAGTACGTCCCTGTTTCATAAGAATCAGTGTATTATCCCAAACACTGAAATCTTTATAAGAGGCAAAACACAGAACTATTCAGGTTGTCTGCTCACATCTGAAGATACACACTATAGTTATGGATATTTAGATTACTGTGTTCTGTCTTATTGAGACACAAATGCCATTTGAATATAGACAATGTTTTCATAAATCATCCTGTCTGTTTCAGCTCACTGAAAAGCTGGCTCTGGAAAAAGGGTATTTCCCCACCCACTTCAAACCCAAGCACATTTCTCAAACCTTATCCTGGGTCAGGCTGGCTCCAACTCTGTGACAGACAGAGGGAGAACAGTAGGACTGCTTGGGGAAAAGACGCCGTGCACTTGAGAACATCTAAGAGGTGAACTGTTTCCAAGAGAGGCTGCTATTAATGATGTCATGGTAGGAAGAAGTGCAGAATAAAAACAACCAATGGGGTATTTGTTATTAAAGAGGATAAAAGCGACAATCTGTCTAAAAGCAATCAATAATAACTCCAAAATCACAGTCAGCCAGGTTCTGTTAGATGCTGTCAGCATCACTTTAATGATGATCACGGTAAGTCTGCATACTATCTAAGTCATAAAGTCTGTCTTATGTTCACTATAAGGATGACCTGGAAACTTTCAAGGCATAATTGTTTAACAGTATTGCCCAGGTAATATTAATGCATCACATTACCCTCACTGTGTAGTTTGTTTTCACTCTTTTTTTTATTTGACTGATGTTGTACAACTAAGCTGAACAACCTACTATCATCATAACTCTAGCTTGTTAAATGTTAACATTCCTTCAAAAACAGAGGATACAGGCAAGGTCCCTGAACCCTCACCTGAGGATCCACTCAGCCTCCCAGCTAGCTGCATGGAACTGGGACTCAATTGCATGAGGTTTCAAGGTTCTCCAGAGACACTTGGGTGAGCAGGCCAGAAAAACTAAAACTGGGCTGCGGGATGTATCTGCAATGCTGTAATATGTACTGCTATATGTACTGTTACACATAAAGCTATTAGATGTACTGGCTACATGAAAATAGATATTGTCTAACAGCCTCTACTTTGGGATATTGTCCTAAATCAAATGGTAAATGTACTTGTTAAACATAGAATATCACATTTGGAATTGCTTAATCAATGGGGTATATGTAAAGCATCAGATGCCCGGGCCAAAGGGAGAGGTGTCTCATTGATTCTGCAGTCATTTTCTAATTGAAATTCTGTTCTGTTCTGTACATCCTCTCTTGGTGATTATAAAAGCTGTTCTTGTCCAAGTCTACTGATGTCTCTAAAACTCTTGGTGACATGTTACTTTTCTTTGTATGGATCAGTGAAATGACTTAAAAAGATACCAAAGATAGAGTTAATGGTATATCTCTAATAAATAGGTTAAATTATTTAAGATACATTAATTAAAGGAAGGACAAAGCCTCTAAAGCTTGAAGCCAAGTCACATTAGGTCTGTCTATGTAATACAGGCATTATGGAAGAGCAGACTTAAAGATAATATACTTAATTATCAAAATTTACTAATGTCCCTAAGGTTATAAAGTCTTGTTCATGTTATAAAAAACACTGACTTAAGAGAATTCTATCTAGTCACTTAATGTCTTTGATAACTTTGTTAAACTGTAGCCATTTGGAGAAACTGAGTCACAACAAGAATAATTAATTATACATCTTTTTATTCTTGTAGATGTTCCTTAAAAAGGTCAGCGTCATTATTCTCTCCTCTGACTGTATTCTTGAAGGTCAGTAGGACTATTTAGATTTCATAAAGGTACAGCCAGTATAAATGTCTGAGGAGAATCAAGTCCCCAGTTCCCCAAGGACTGTATTTATGTTTAAAGTTTATTTTAGTATAACACAGCTTCAGTTCAACAATTGTCATTTCTGAGGCTGACATTTTTAACAGAGATCCATTATTTCCATTTAAATACTAATCTGATGAGTCACGATTTCATTGTAAGATGTGAGAGCAAGTACACTTAATACAACAGTTATTGAGAGTCACCTACTGAGACTAATATATGTACAGAGACAAAATTAGTCCTCTGTACATGTTGTCAAACAAAGCAGACAACTCAAAGAATATTTAAGGTCATCTTGAAGTTTCCTAAATATGGAATAATATTCAAAACCAGGTATACTTACAAAAAAAAAATCTGTTTATTGAAATAAATTGCTTGAATAAAAAGGGTTAAAATCCACACTACACTTGCATGGCAGGACACACCCTTAGACTGGACAGAGACCTATTGAATTAATGGCATTTTAGTGTCAACACAGGATAAGGATGTATAGGGAATAGGAGTGTCAGTGTCTACGGCTCCTGTCTCCCTCTGGTCTGGAAACCAGAGCAGGAAACTCCTAGTCCTTATCTGTAGGGAAGATGAATCACTCCTCATGTCCCACCAGACAGGGGGGTGGACTCCCCTCACACCGAGGAGGACCTTAGACTCTTCACCACACTCTAAATGTGTCAAGTAATGGAGATACTCACTGCAACTTGTCAGCACTCCATGTTCCCTGAACTGACAGTTGAGGGTACTGAGGGAACCTTGTACCTATGCCTGCCACCCAACTGGTATGGGAACTACACTCTAGTTCAAACGGCAATGCCCTGTCCCCTGGCTTTGAATTTCCTCCTCTTAACAGAGCCAATCCCAGGGCTGAGGTGTCAATGCCTGATTGTGTATGGAGTCCTCAGCAAAGTGGTAGATAAGACATGACAGAGGCTCAACCACAGGGCCAGTGGGCACAGCAGGCTCAACTCTGGGCACTACTGCAACTAAGTCACAAGTGCCATGTGTGGACATCACATCAGTAAAGACAGCCATACGGCCTGAGGAGGAGGTGAGGTGGACTGTGAAAGTTCACCCAGGGCGGTCATTCTAGTCACCTTCCAGAGACGTCTGGGACCAGACCCTTAGCCCTGCTCCCATTACCAATCTGGAAGCCAGTCGACATATACATACTTGGAGGAAGTGTGGAAAATCAACATGTCTTTGGTAACATGTGGGTGCCCATAAAGATGGCTGCACTCCATCTTGGCACAAGGGCAGATAGTTCAAAGCTGTCAGCAAGTCACAAGACTTAAAGGTCAAAGGTGTGGCTACAGAAGGATGCTTTGGCTGTCTTAGTCTAAATAACAACAGAGTTGAATCTGAGGTGTGGCTACTCCTGACCTCAAGGCCAGGGAATGAGAAGTTGAATCTGAGTTATGGCTATTCCTGACCTCAAGGCTAGGGAACAAGAAGTTGAAGCTAAGGTGTGGTTATTGAACCCTTAGAATAAGTGAGGAAGAAAAGTCTGTTTGTTCCATATACATGGTACTGTGTTCCCCTTTTGGTTATGGTATATAAGAGTGGTGAGAAATAAACTCGTGGCATTTCAGTTTTGACTGATCTGCTGTCCTGATCGTTTATTCTGTCTTTATTGTCTATAGCTAGCCTTTCCTTCATCCATACTCCCCCACTCAGGTATGGACTTGGGGCAGCTCGGCTGGCTCCGATTGCAGCCTCACAAAGACCGCTCCTGACAATAACAAAGACACAAAGGAGAGACCTAAAGAATTAATGCCACAAAGCCTTCTTCCAATGCACATGGGAAAGCCTGCCTTTCTGCCCATTGACCCCCCCCCCTCATTCCTACCCACCTGGGTGCACAGTGTCTGTTGCTTGTATCTTTACATCCCATGGTCCTTGTGTTTGCTCCAGAAATGTCACCAGGTGTGGCTTACTGACAACAAGACCTGTTTGGAGGAAAAGGGAACAATATTAAGTGTTCTTCCACTGGGAATTCACACGTCCCTTCCAGTACACTGTTTATAAGACAAGAGATATGGAAGTAAGTGGCTGCAATCGGTTCCTTAAATGTTTTCTCACAGGATCACAAGTATAGAAAGTTTACAACACCTAGATTCTGAGTCTCGTTTAAAGGGAAAAACATTAAAAGTCGTAGTTCAGCAGAGTCACTGTAGCTGGGGTGGACAGTAGGGTGAATACTTTCGCTGGACCTGGAGTAATTGTTAAAAGGAACACTTTCCACTGCATCTGGCATAAACGTTAGACTGAATATTTGTTTTCTAGAAGTATCTTGAACTCGAGGAATCATTGTGGAAAACAGTAAAGAATCTTTGTGGAAAGCAGTGATGGTTTTCCAGGATTTGTAGAATTGCTTATCTAAGAGGTTTGCAGCCTTTGAATGACTTTGGTCATAGGATGCCTCTGGCACATTTAAGGCTCTTGGGTTACTGCATATTGCAAACAATAAAGGACAAAAGTCATGGGGCCACGTGATGCTTTCCTTGGAGAGACATATAGATTAGATTGGGGACCTTGGTATAAGGAAATAGTTTACACAAGAAACTATGTGTAACTATGTGTAAGAATCAGTAAATTTGCCTTTGTACTACAGCGGCTCATGTTTTGGTTCATCAGAGGCCGGACCTTCCTGCTGTTGTATGTGCCTTAAATTTTCATCTTGGAGTGACCTCTTTTTTGACCAACCCACAAAACACACCCCCAAAAATGAATTGTGAAACACTTTAACAGGTGTGCTCCATGCTTCATGCTAGTGAATTTCTAACAGTTCCACTAGCATGACTACTGAATGAAACATACATTTAACACACAGTTCAAACACACAGAGAGAAAAACACTGGAACGTTTTTAGCTGTAGAGCAACCACTCTAATTGTTCTTAAAAGATATGAAACTGGCCTTTGAAATGTTCCCACGAGATACAGTACAAAGTGAGGAAGCCACATGCTGATGGTGAAATAAGAATTCACTGTGGATGAGATCCTCACCCAGGAAATCAAGGTGGCTGTAATTCTCCAACATCACATCCCTGTACAGATTCCACTGAGCAGGCTCCAGGCATTCCCTCTCTTCCAGAGAGAACTCAACAGCCACATCCTGGAAGGACAGCATTTCCCTGAAACAAAGGTCAATGAATGATATCACAGTTTTAATTATAAAATCACTAAAAGTAATATAAATATCAAGATTCATTGGGCTGGATAGTTTTCCTGTCAACTTGAGACATTTAAGAAGAAAGATCATTGAGAAGATGTCTCCATAAGTCTGTGTGTAGGAAGCCTATGGCATCTTCTTAGTGATTGACATGAGACAGCACAGCCCATTATGTGTGGTGCCCGCCTGGGGCAGGTGATCAATATTCTATAGGAAAATGGAATAATGTGTAGTAGTGTGATTTGCTTGTAGTATACACACTGGTTCATCCATGGGGAAGACTAATTCTCCCTCTCTTAGCAATGTTTAGGTACTTAATGTACTGGCTGGTTTTGTGTGTCAACTTGACACAAGCTAGAGTCATCAGAGTAGAAGAAGTCTCGGTGGAGGAAATGCCTCAGCAAAAGCCTTGGTCGAGGAAATGCCTCAACAAGATCCAGCTGTAAGGCATTTTCTCAACTGGTGATCAATGTGGGAGGGCCCAGTGGGTGGTGCCATCCCTGGGCTGGTGGTTCTGGGTTCTATAAGAAAGCACACAGAGGAAGCCAGGGGAGGCAAGTTGTCGGTAAGCAGCTCTCCTCCATGGCCTCTGCATCAGCTCCTGCCTCTGGAATCCTGCCCTGTTTGAGTTCCTGTCTTGACTTCCTTCAGGGGAGGAACAGCAGTGTTAAAGGGTAAGCCAAATAATCCTTTCCTCCCCAACTTATTTTTTGGTCATGATGTTTCATCACAACAACAGCAACCAACTCAAGACTTTATAAATTTTTTTTGGGGGGGGGTTGGATTAGATAGGGTTTCTCTGTGTAGTCCTGGCTATCCTGGAACTCACTCTCTAGACCAGGCTTACCTTTAACTCAGAAATACGGCTAACTCAGCCTCCTAAGTGCTGGGACTAAGGCATGTGCCACCACTGCTGGTGGTTTTATACGCATCATGAGTAGAACCACATGATATTCATATCTGCAGGATGTCATTGTTCAGGCAGTCCTGTTGCTGGGTTATCATCCCTTCTCCCACTTGAGAGCTTGTAAAGCACCATCTTTTCCATCACAGGTCTGTTTACTTTAAATCTCAGGCCACACACACAGGTCTATGAGTTCTTCCTCACCCTGGTGACCTGACCCAAAAGCCTTTCTAGTCCCCAATTTGCTTCACAGTGGGTCATTCCCCTCAATGTCTGCAGTACCTGTGTTCTCTCGCCCCTAGTCTAAGCTTTTCTGTAGTAGCTGACTCTGGCAGAGTGCAGAATTTCACTCCTTCACTCCCATGAACCGTTGGGCCTCAGGTATTTCCTCTCAATTCTTTAACGGGCAGAGAAAGAGAACACAATCAAAACCTCAAGACCCTTACACCAAGCAGGACAGAGTCAGGAGGGGTCAGAAACCCCGCTTGCTCTAAGATCCTGAGGAATCTGACAGCTTCCACGTGAGAATGGCTCAGCTAGTGAGGCATGCTTCCCCCACCAAAGCTGCTCAGTGAGCTCCCAGCTCCACTTCTGGTGACCATCATTAGCTTGCAGTCCCGGACCTTTCCGCGTTCCCAGGCAACTCTCCTGTCCCAGAAGCCCAAGGCAGACTTGGGCTGCATGTCCTAAGGAAACCATCACTCAGGGCGCAGCCCTGACCTGCAACCTCCCGAGTCCCAGCCACCTCCAAGGCAGTCTCTCCGCCCTCCCACCCAGCCCAGGTCTGCTCCCTCCATGAGGGACCAACACCCCGCACAGAGCCTCAGGCTGCTTTACACCCTGCACCAACCTCCAAGTCAGAGATGCAGGAGAAGATCCAGCAGGGCAGGACTCGCGCCCAACTTTGGGGAAAACGCACATGTGCAGACCATATCCGGAAAAGGCTCTCCAGGATGGTTCTCTGTGATGTCACAGTCGCACGGACTACATTTCCCAGAAGTCTGAGCGAAGGAATTCCTGGAATCCTGAGTGGGTGATATTTACTGTCCCTGCACTCCATTCTGTCTGCCTGCAGTAGAGATTGGGAGAAAGAAGCAAGAGTCTGCACAGCTGTTGGCCTGAGAAAAAGCAAGTGCACGAATGCCTGAATAAAGCAAGCTTTATTTTACAGGAGCACCAAGCTTTCTCTCCCAAAGTCGGTATTTCAGAGAGCAGCCCCTCACTGCGTTTTGTGGTCCATTTTGAGACAAGGATGGGGTTAATAACAAACAGCTGTCAAGATAATTGGTCATTATAAAAGAGGAAATTTCTTTGAAGTGTGGTTTCTTAACAACAATGTGACTGTTTTTGTCTCAAACAGCCATGGGGACTGTCTGGTGTTCTCCTCCAGATCCACAATAGGAGATTCACGAATGGGACTCAAGACTTGGACTTTAACATTAGGCTCAGAAGTCATTTCTGGTCCTTGTGTTCTGATTGAATCTTTCCATAGCGTTAAAAATCACATTAAGTCAGTTCTTTAAAATGGTGAAGCAATATTGTGAGGAGTAATCTTTTTGTACACTGTGAAGATCTGTCTTTGCCAAGGGACCTTCTGATTGGTTTAATATAAAGCTGAATGGCCAATTAGCGAGACAGGAGAAAACAGGTGGGATTTTTGGGTAGAGAGTAGATGAATCTTACTGCACAGAGAGGCCAACTAGATGTGGTACATGTCAGGCATACCTGATTGCTTCTTTACTCACAACAGTAAAAACCCTGAGTCAACATAGGTGTCCATGAATTAATGGAAAATACATGTTTATTACACACAAACACATAGAGGGGAAAGGTATAATCACAAAATTTACAGAAAAATAATGGACATCAAATGTCTATTAGTTGAAGACACCCAGTCATATAAAGAAATATACTGCCATGTTCCTCCTCATATGTGTTATCTAGACACTAATACATGTACATATGTGAAGAGTTGTCTATGTGGGTACAGCATGTAAAGTGGAAAAGAGAATGAAGTTTGAGTAGGAGGATAAGGAAGGATTTGAAGCAGGTAATGAACATGGGTCAGGAAGAGAACATATATGATTTTCAGGGTCCAACTCCCTCGTGGATTTTAGTTTTCATGGTGTACAACACAAAATATATGCAGGCAGATGATGTCAAATCCAATGTGAAAGCCTCAGGTTCTGTTCTGAATGTGTTCTAACTGTATGAACATTCATCACTTTAGTAGCATCACAGGCTTTCTCTTGGGCCACCAATCAGCTCCCAAATAGTGACATAGCACCGGTGGCTCTTTTGGGAGGTCCCCATACCATCACTTAAACGGGCTTATGAGTAGCACGTGTCAGAACTACCACTTAGCAGTTAGCCACTCATGTGATCAGCCAAAGATAGAAAAGTGAAATAGGTTCGGACCAAAAAAAAATTAACAAACAAAACAACCAAAACAAAAAACCTACAAATGAGTTAAGTGTGTTTAAAAATATACATAGGCTTAGGAGAGAAACAAAAAAGGGCACAGAAAGTATGTAAAGGGGAACCGAATAATAAAAATAATAAGCCATGTAAAGAAGGAAAATACACAATCTGGATTATGTACATTGTGTTGCCTGTTAATGAGCAAATAAGTGCTGAGAGACATTTTGATTATGAAAGCTGCTAGGTTATACCAACCTATATATTTTATAAATACCTTGACTGCAAAATTTAAGTCAAAAGATGTTACTATGGGGAAAAGGTCCTGCTTTTATTTTAAAAAGAAATGAGAGGCTCTGGATTCATTCTTGGTTAGGAAAAATCAGATTTGATGGAACACCCCCTGAAAAATCTGACAGGAACAGATGGCCCTGATGACCCAACATTTCAGAAAGCTTCTGTTGCAGTTTCCTCTGGGTTTTATAACAGCTTCAAGGCTGCTGGCTGAGATGATCCAGACTCACAGGATACTACAGTCAGGACTAGACCATAATCCTAAATTTTCTCAGGGTCTCCCAAAAGATTACTACTGCCCCCAAACAACAGGAAGTAGTGTTGAGAACTATACCCAGATTCTCCCAAAATCGATTATTAATATTAGTCTTTGTTTAGGAGGCTGATTATAAATTGATATTGGTCACAGTCAAAAAAAAAAAGACTAAAGAAAAGATTTAAATTCAGAGATCTCTTTCTAAAAGAAGGGTGGTATGATATAGAAATGATAGAATAAAATGGTAGATTACTGAATCTATACTAATCCAAAAAACAATTACTAATCTTAAATATTTTATATTCGTATAGATTTTGGTTTATTGGAACAAATTTAGTTTTGTTGTACTGTATATTTCTATTCTTGTTTAAGGTATATTTATGCCACTCACTTAAAAATAAGTATAATTAAGAAATATAAAGTTAATCATCTATAATCAAACTTACAGACATGTTAGGTATGTTTTCAAAGTCATACAGATATATTTACATAGATGGTCTTCAAACACTTCAAAGACCTACAACATATGGCATTTAATGTTTAATAATGTAAGGCTTTTCATGAGAGTGAGAAATGAATGCTCCTGGCAGCAGTAATCTACTTCAGAGAAGATGGTGAGCATAAAAGAAACTCTGTAAAGAGTTTTTTTTTTTTTTTTTAAATGGAAAAAGCTAGCCAGTGGGCAAAGAAAGTGACCATGCCTCAATTGCTGACAGTTACTGTGATCTGGACCAGTACAAGGCGAATGCTGAACTTTGCCAAGACAAGATAGGACAGCCCTTTGAAATTTCCTGCTTCCCAGGAAGGAATGTCAGATATGCTAGGACTGTAGTTCAGAGCTGGATGCCCTCATGTTGCAGAGGAACTTTGGGTGACTGTCTAAGCAGCTAAATAGATAATAATTTTCTCTAATTTTGCCAATTACAAGTAACACTGGAAATGATAACTAATTCTTACTTAGTAACTGTTTTGTCATTTATAATTTTACTATGTTGAAGTTATAACCTTCCTTTTTCATTAGACAAAAGGGGGGAAATGCTGTGGAACAGTCCTCTTGAACACTGTGAATACTGGTCACACAAATTGGTACAATAAAACACTGACTGGACAATAGCCAGGCAGGCGGTATTGGCAGGGTGACCAAACTAAGGATGGGAAGGAGAAGGGCGGATTCAGAGAAGTTACCAGCAAATACAAGGAAACAAGATGAAAATGCTCTACTGGGAAGGTACCAAGCCATGTTGCTAAACATAGGTAAGAATTATGGGATAATTTAAGAGTTAGCTAGTAAGTACAGGACAGGTTAGCTAGAAAGTTTATGATGAGTTAGCTAGGAAGGCAGCTATTGAGTGTAAGGCTGTGTAAAGTCAAGACAGGAAACCTCTGTAAATGCTATTGCTCCCTCAGCTGATGACTGGGCCTTCATGTTGGTTTAACTAAGGTCTATCCTTTTATTTTACCAGTAAGGATTCAGGAGCCAGATGCTGTGTAAATAACCTGATAGAGATATTCCAAGAGGAGATATTCCAGGAGCTTGGATGACTCCACTGGGGAAAAACATCAGTTAACTGTGCCACAGCCCAGACCTTAGATTGCAGGAAAACAATGGACAAAGTTATGACATGGTAAAGGTTTCATGAAACATTTACAGTTACAGAAGAAAGAGACTCACTAATCAAAATATGTTCCCAACATACTACTTGAACAAACTGTTGGGGGTTACTGCAAAGAGAAGTCTCTACTGTTCTCTCATAACAATGTTAGCATTTGTACTCTGTTAAGCTAGATGTTCATGTTGACTTTGCAAAAATAATCAACTTGATATTCTCCACTATGGATTCATTTGAGTTGGATAATGTAGTGATATATTATTTATGATTTATTAAAGCTTGCATGAGGATTCAGAAAGCAAAGTCAGCCTCAAGCCATAGAAGCACACACCTTTGATCCCAGCAGCCAGAAGGTGGTGGTACATAACTGTACTCCTAGTACTCAGGATCAAGAGGTAGATGGATTTCTGTGAGTTCAAGGCCACCCAGATCTACACAAGATTGATACAGTCCTAAAAAGAAATAGCTCACACAAACATGATTACAGCACTTGTGATCACACACCTTTAATCCAAGCATTAGGGAGGAATATAAGACAGGAGCTAGGTCTCAGTAGGAGGCATTCATTCTCCAGTCACACTGATAGATACTAATTCAGCAGCCATACTGAAGATAGGAAGACATTCTCCAGCCACACTGAGGAGAGGCAGCAGTTTGAGGGTTGGTGAAGAGCTCATGGATGAGCCCTTTCAGCCTGAGCTAGAGGTGAGAAACAGTGGCCGGCTGCTTTGCTTTTCTGATCAGCTTGACATTTGAATCCCAATACCAGTCCCAGTCTTTTATTTCTTGTGTTACGGGATAAGATCTGAGTTTTTAGCAAAGATTTTTACTACACTTCACACACTCACATACTTTGTAGTCAGAATGAATCATTTCATGTGTTTTAAGGGTGGAACAAATAAACTTTTTAAGACATTTGTAGGATTTTTTGCTGTATGAACTATATCATGTGTTGAGTAAAATATAAAGATTTACAAAGTCTTTGTTGCATTCTGCACACTACTAGGGATTGTCTTCAGAATGAATTTTCCTTTTTCTTTTATGTTGTTTAAGGCGTGAAGATGAGGAAGCACATCTGTCCCAATCTTCACTCTGGTTGGGTTTCTCTCCATTATGAACTTCCTTGTGCCTCCTAAGGGACGAGTGACAATGAAAGGCTTTCTGACATTCTTCACACTTGTATGGTTTCTCTCCAGTATGAACCGTTTGATGGTCTTGAAGATTCCTAGAATAGGAAAACCGTTTGCCACATTGTACACATGTATAAGGATTATATTCAGAGTGGATTTTTTATGGCGTCTAAAAGATGCTAATGAGTAAAAACATCTGCCACACTCTTTGCACTTGTAGGGTTTGTCTTTACGGTGCATTGTTTGATGTCGCCGAAGAGATGAAGATAAGTAAAAACATTTGCCACATTCTTCACACTTGTATGATTTCTCCCCAGTGTGAATTTTCTGATGGTCTTGAAGCTTTACAAAACAGTAAAACCTTTTCCCACACTCCTCACACTTATATGGATTTTCTTGAGAGTGAACCACCTGATGTTGTTTAAGGTATGAAAATAAGGAAAAACATCTGCCACACTCTTCACACTTGTATGATTTCTCCACAGCATGAATTCGTTGATGTGCCTGGAGGAATGAAGGAACATAAAAGGCTTTGCCACATTCTTCACACTTGCAAGGTTTCTCTCCAGAATGAATTCTCTGATGTTGCTTCAGCATTGAAGGATAGTAAAATGATTTGCCACATTCTTCACACTTGTAGGTTTTTTTCATTAGTATGATTTTTCTGGTGTATAAAAAGTGATGAGCGCGTATTGAAGGCCTTATGACATTCTTTACACTGGTAGGGTTTTTGTCCAGTGTGAAGTCTTTGGTGTATAGAAAATGTTTTATAAGAACTAAGGCCCTTACCACATTCTTCACATTTGTAGGGTTTCTCCCCTGTATGAATTCTCTGGCGTTGAATACGTAGTGGGTTACAATCAACGTCCTTGTTATATACATTTTTATTCTTGGGTCTTGTTCCTGCTGAAGAAAAGTTGAGATATGAACAAATGCTCGGAAATATTCTTTATACTTACAATGCTTATCTTTTTAAAAGGAAACATTTACTCATACATATTGAAGAATCAGTGAGAAACTACGGTATATTCAAGCCTATAGGCACTAAATATAAATGATAAAATACTGCAGATAGAAATAATCAATACTTCAGCTAGAATGAGAGCACAACCAAATAAAAGGATAGACATAATGGTATATTCAACATTTGGTAGCTAAGTAAGTTTTAAGGACATTTTACTAACAGAAATAAACACATTAAACAATAGAGATGTTATATGGCTGAACACCCATTAAATTATAAAGAAGACAAGCCTGGAAAAAATAAAAGTTAAATGTGATTGTGTATGTGAATTTGAGCCATCATCTAAATACATAATTTTTATCCTCTATATAGCTTAATTTTAAAATCAGAAGATATGCTGTACAAGAAGTAGATGGTCTACAAGTTTAACAAGTTTAAGCTTATAGCTCACAAATTCAGAACACTATTTCATTTTTTATTTGAATTACAAAAAAGTATATACCTGAAGCAATCAAGTCATGATAAACAAAAACTTGAGGTTCACCTGTGAATTTCACAAATTTTGCTGACACAATATATTTGTCAGTGAATAAATAATAAACTCATTAGATCAGGCTAGCTGCAAACTTGAAGATCCAGCTACTTCTGCCTCCCAAGTGCTGGGATCAATGGAGTAGGTTAGCATGCCCAGGGGGAAAAATTATGTACTTCCAAAGATTTATTCATTTATAAGAGAAATAGCTATTGAGTCATAAATAGAGATGTGGGTGCCCATAAAGATGGCTGCACTCCATCTTGGCACAAGGGCAGATAGTTCAAAGCTGTCAGCAAGTCACAAGACTTAAAGGTCAAAGGTGTGGCTACAGAAGGATGTTTCAGCCATCTTAGTCTAAATAACAACAAACCTGAATCTGAGGTGTGGCTACTCCTGACCTCAAGGCTAGGGAAGGAGAGGTTGGAGCTAAGGTGTGGTTACTGAGCCCTTAGAATGAGAAAGGAAGAAAAGTCTGTTCCATATACATGATACTGTGTTCCCTTTTTAACTTATAGTATATAAGAGTGGTGAAAAATAAACTCGTGGCATTTCAGTATTGACCTATCTGCCCTCTTGACCGTTATCCTGTCTCTCTCTCTTTCTTTATTATCTATAGCTAGCCTCTCCCTCATCCACATTCCCCCACTCAGGTATGGACGTGCAGCCGCTCAGCTGGCTCTGATTGCAGCCCTGCAAAGACAGCTCCCGATATAGAGAGACAATGAACAAGCCATGCAAACAGGAGACTCATGTTTACCCATGAAGTAGAAATATCACAGAGCAGAGCTTGTACATATTTTGTAATCTTACACAGCCCTTGTGTGTCTTATCCATCCACCAAAATATATAGGGAATATATAACAAATGATTAAACATTATACACACTTTCAAAATAAATACCAAAGAATATCAAATTGCAAAGTGAAGAAAAAAAATTTGAACGCACATAATGTTGAAAACTATTAAACATACATTCCTAGTCACAGAGACTTTGAATCTTTGAATATATATCCACAAAGGGCATGCATTTTAAGTTCTTATTAATGAGTATGTGATAAAGAAAAAATTTAGAAGATAGCTTCATCAAAGACAAAGAACCCTGATGATGTCACTTTCGTCAACATGAGTGCAAGTGACATAAAAGAAACTCATGTGTGAAGTTAGTTTCTTACAATGATTTCACACCTAGTTATTTAGAAACGTGTGCAATGTTTTACATGTGAAGAAAATATTATAGATTCTGTCAGTGAAATGCCCCAAATGACTTGATTTTGTCTGAGTTTTATCCAACTGCTCCCCCAACCAAACAATCCTGTTGAGAAAATGTTCTCGTGCAGCCTTCCTGGCAGCTTAGAAACATCCCCTGGTTTACATCATAAAATAAATTATTTGAATCAGTGGAACTAAAAGTTTTAGATTTTGGGCCTTGGGCCTACATCTAGTATGAGTAATTTTGGGCTTAGTTTTATAAATCCAATCAAATAAGGTTAAAGTGTGCTGGAAGGACCAATGCATTTCTTGACACAAAACCCAACCTTGTCCTTCTGGTCCTCCAATGGGGTAGGTGTGGGTGTTTTTGTCTGGTTCAGATTCTGGAGGGGGGAAAAATCCTGACAGGAACTCCCTCCCTGTGTCTCCTGCTGAGAGGAAAGGTGTGGACTGAAGAAGTAATGGATACATTTTTCAGTTAAACCCAGGTCTTCCCTCATTCTGTAGATGCTGAATGAGTGAATGCACAGTACCCTCCATCTATGCTGTCTCAGCTATGGCTCTGTGACTTACTTTCTGTCGTCCTGACCCCCTCGTGGAACACACAATCTGTCACTCTTTGGGGTCACTTGGATTCAAGGCTCCTGGATCTGCTGTCCCCTGCCTGTGCTCCATGAGCCATGTGCCACCTTTTCTGAGGCTCTATTAGTGGGCCTGGGCAAGCCCAAGTCTATTCCTCTTCAAGCTTTTCACCCCCGGCCCCGAGCTCTCCCTTATGGTATTCCTTAGGATGATACAGCCACTGAAAGGAGAAGGTCTGCAGATTTTATAAAGAACAGAATAAAGGGATCAGGAGGTTAAAGTTCGTAGTCCACCACGGACTGTGTTTATCTTTATGGGTATAAAAAATTTTCAGTTCAACAACTGTAATTTTTTTGCACAGGTAAATAAATTTCATTTGTTAAATCCTTGACTGATGTGAGAGTCCCTATTTTATTGTAAGTTGTTACAAAGGTAATTAAGACATAATAGTTTATGATGAGTGACCTAATGAATCATGAAATATACTGAGTGACCAAAGTTGTGTTCATAGTCATGCTAAATACAAATGTAATTCATTTCCAGACACAATATTAGAGGGAAAGAAAAATTTCTACCTTCCACTATGGAGTCCCCTGTACATGTCATCAAAGGTAAGTCTACAGCAGGTAACTGAAACAAATTCAAGTTCACCTTGTCTTTGCTTAATGTGAAATGATATTAAAATCAGATATACTTAAAGTTATCGGGCCTGGAGTTGTGACATACACCTTTGATCCCAACACTCAGGAGCAGAAGTAGGAAGATCTTTCTGAGTTTGGTGCCAACCTGGTTTACAGAAGCCAGTTCTAGGACAGCCAGGGCTACACAGAGAAGCCCTGTCTTGAAAAACAAAACCAAAGAAAACACCAACAAAACAGAACAAAAACAGAGAAAGCTGGTTTTTGAAATTGAATGCTCGAGTACTTTTTCATGGAAAGATACACCCAGGAGAGGTTAGCACACTTATCCTAAGACACACTACATTAACTACATTGTCAACACAGCATAGGGATGTGTGGGGAATAGGAGTGTCAGTGTCTATGGCTCCTGCCTTCCTCTGGTCTGGAAACCAGAGCAGGAAATCCTAGTCCTGATCTCTAGGGAAGATGAATCAATCTTCAAGTCCCACCAGACAGGGGGTGGACTCCCTCACACCGAGGAGGACCTTAGACTCTTCACCACACTCTAAATGTGTCAAGTAATGGAGATACTCACTGCATCTTATCGGCACTCCATGTTTCCTGAACTGACAGTTGAGGGTACTGAGAGGAACCTTGTACCTATACCTGCCACCCAACTGGTATGGGAACTACACTCTAGTTCAAACGGCAATGCCCTGTCCCCTGGCTTTGAATTTCCTCCTCTTAACAAAGCCAATCCCAGGGCTGAGATGTCAATGCCTGATTGTGTATGGAGTCCTCAGCAAAGTGGTAGATAAGACATGACAGAGGCTCAACCACAGGGCCAGTGGGCACAGCAGGCTCAACTCTGGGCACTACTGAAATTAAGACACCACATCAGTAAAGACAGCCATACGGCCTGAGGAGGAGGTGAGGTGGACTGTGAAAGTTCACCCAGGGGCGGTCATTCTAGTCACCTTCCAGAGACGTCTGGGACCAGCTCCTCTGCTATGGAACCCTCTCTTTTTTTTTTTTTTTTTTTTTTTTTTTTTTGGTACAATCACTGACATTGTTAATAGCTAGACAAGATGTTCTGGGCAGAGCAAATGCTGGGTTATACTATATGTAAGTTTTTACTCTTGTTTGGAGTATTGTGCTTATCTAGCTCATTTAAAAATGTAATGTATAATTAAAAATACAGGACAGTAGTTAATCATATATAACAGTCAAACTGATACTCATGTTAGGCTCAATTTCAAGGTCATAAACAGATATATTTAGGTAGATAGATGGTCGTCAAACACTTCAAAGATCTACAGAATATGGCATTTTAAATGTCTTAATACAATAAGGCTTGTCATGACAGTAATACTTGTCTGCTCCTGGCAGCACCAATTTACTTCAAAGATGATGACAGGCATTGAAGAAACTCCAAAGGAGTTTGCTTTTTTGATAGCAAAAGCCAGGCAGTAGGGCAAACAAACTGCCCTTTCCTCAGTTGCTGACAGTATATTATCCAGACTGGACAAGCAGAATGCAGAAGAAAGCAACTTTAAACTTTGCCAAGACAAGGTAGGACAGTCCTTCAATATTCCCTGCTTCACAAAAATGTCTGTCACACATTCTAGGCCTGTAGGCCAAAGATGGATACCCCATTGTTATAGAAGAACTTTGGATGATTGTCCAGGCAGCCAGACATCCCTGTCATTATATAACATTTCACCCTTAAGGGTCTTTGATGGAGTTAAGACTAAATAATTAGATTTGAAGTTTTCCTTAGTTATAATAACAGGTAAATTAGAAATAAAACTTTTTTTGACTTTCAAAGATAAGATAGATAATATTTTCCCTAAATTTGCCAAACAGAAATGAACTGGACATTGTAATTGTAGTTAATTGACAAGTGTTTTTCTTACATATACTTGTACTATGTTAAAGTTAAAACCTTCCTTTGTAATTAGACAGGAAAAAGAAAGGCTGTGAGATAATCCTTCTGTATACTATGAAGATGTGTTACTCTCATTGCTAATAAAAAGCTGATTGTCTGATGGCTAGGCAGGATTTTCAGGGCACAGAGAATGCTAGGATAAGAAAGCAGAGTCAAGGAGTCCCCAGGACGTGGAGGAGCAAGAGATAAAAATGCCATCTTGTGAAAAGGTCCTGCCACATGGCAGAGTGTAAGTAAGATATATAGATTAATGAAAATGTAATAGCTAGATAGTAATAAGCCTGAGATATTGGTCAAGCATTTATAATTAATAATAAGTCTCTAAGTGGTTATTTGGGAGTGCTGGCAGGACAGAGATGATTATGGTTCCAATGAAGAACTCCACCTACACTCCTCAGCCCTGGTCCCATTACAAAGCAGGAAGCCAATACAAATCTATACTGAGAAGAAGTAACCACAAGATCTCTTCACTCAATTGAACATATGGTAATGTTAGCCATAATGCTTCCTATAGGGCTAGCCATAGTGGCTACCCTGACTCAATCTGACAAGAAACATTTTACCAGCTTTAACAACATGTGACTGAGAATATATGCAAATAACAGAACAACTATATCATAGATACATTAACTTGAAAGAAACAGAACAAAACAAAACCCCAAAACCATGGAGCCTTATACTCACTAAAGGGCCTACATCTACTAACTGCCATGAAAGAGAGGCAAACAATCACTGTTCGATGGGCATCCCTGAATCAAGAGTGTAAGGCCTTGTAGGTCATCCTGTCCTTCTCTTCATAGGTCTAATGGTCAGAACCTACTGTACCAACTGGTGGTATAAGTGTTGAAAAAAAAAAAAAAAAAACAGTCTCTTTCAAATTAGTGAACCTAAGGGGCCAATATAACCCTTCTACAATATGTTAATGTTTTGAATCTTCACTGTTTCCCACCCCCAAATATTTCTAATCATTGGGACTGAAAGTGTTGAGCCTGTCACTGCCTGCCTCTCTGTTATGGAATTGTGGGTTTGGCTTTATGAACCCAATCATGCTCACTTTGGTGTAGAGATCCTTCTGGAATGAGTCTGCTGTCAACCTCTGCAAAGAAATTACTCTCAGTATGACCAGCACTGAGTTCTCTTTCCCTGAGTCTTACACTACAGTGGAAACTCAACAACAACAAAACCTTGGAGGTAGTCACCTAAATAAAATACAGCTCACTGTTGTGGAAATACAAAGCTGAAGAGACTTAAACTATCATAAACATCTGAGAGACATGCTTTGAGAACAAAGCCATGAAGAGAGACCTAAAGAATGATCCCCATAGAACCATGTTTCTAGGCACATGGGAAAGCCTGCCTTTCTGTTGGATATCTGGACCTCAGTTCTGACCCTGACCCCTCATTCCTACACACCTGGGTGCTTGGTGGCTGCTGCTTGTCTCTTCACACCAGAAGGCTCTTGTCTTTGTTCCAGAAATGTCACCAGGTGTGGCTTAGGGACAGCAAGACCTGTTTGTAAAAAAGGAAACAAGATTATTTAGGTGTTCTTCTACTGGGAATTGACACATGCCTTCTAGTGCATGGCTCATAAGTTAAAAGATGATGTAATAAATGACTCCAGACAATCAGTTCTGTAAATGTTTTCTGACAGGATCAGTATACCACACAAAGTAATTTATAGCATCCAAATTCTGAGGTTCACTTAAAGGGAGAAAACATGAAAACTGAATTGTGAAAGGCTTTTCTTATCAAGTTTACTCAAGTGTTTAATGCCACTGAATTTCTAGCAGCCCCACTAGAGAGAAGGAAACATACATCCAACGCAGAAAGATTAAACACAAAGAGAAAAACAGTGAAGTGATTCTTCTTTTTAATAATTTAATTTTATTCTTTAAGTGTATTGGTGCTTTGCCTGCATGATGTCTGTGTGAGGGTGTCAGACCTTGAAATTACAGTTATAACCTGTCATGCGGGGTGTGAGAATTGAACTCCAGTCCTCTAGAACACCAATGCTCTTAGCCACTGAGCTATCTCTCAAGGGCCAAAATGTTTCTTAGTACAGAACTCTTCCTAATTTTTTTGAAAATAAAGGACATGAAACTGGCTGTTGAAATGTTCCCATGAGAAACAGTACAAAGTGAGGAAGCCACATGCTGATGCTGAAATAAGAATTCACTGTGGATGAGATCCTCACCCAGGAAATCAAGGTGGCTGTAATTCTCCAACATCACATCCCTGTACAGACTCCACTGAGCAGGCTTCAAGCATTCCCTCTCTTCCGGAGAGAACTCAATGGCCACATCCCAGAAGGACAGCATTTCCTGAAATATAAATCAATAAATGATAATGCACTTTAATTAAAACCATTAATAATATAAATATCAAGATGCATTGGGCTGGATAGTTTTCCTGTCAACTTGAGACTAGCTAGGGTCATTTGAGAACAAAGAAATATCATTGAGAAGATGCCACCATAAGTCTCTGTGTAGGGAAGCCTATGGCATCTTCTTAACTAGTGTTTGACATGAGACAGCATAGCCCAATTATGCATGGTGCCAATCCTGGAAAAGCAGTTCTATGTGGTATAGGAAAGCAGGCTGTGCAAGTCAGTAATCAGTGTACTTCTGTAGCCTCTACTCCAGCTCTTGGCAAACAACTGTCTGATCTCCACAATTTAATATGTGACTGATAGAAGTTGAAATTACACACAGAATGGGTTAACAGAATGAAACACAGTAGATCTTAAATCACCAAAGTGCTGATTGAATCGATCTGTCATGGTGCTCACTGTAAAAAACATTCCATGAGCAACTGAATGCATTTATCACATCCACGAAGTATGTTCAAGTGTTTTCTGACACAGACTCGAGTAGCCTAAGACTTGAATTTGCTATGGCGCAGGGGGAGGACCTGGGGGAGTGGGGTCCTGTCTCCCCCTCACAAATGCAAAGATAACAGGGCTGTGCAATAAAGTGGACTGGAGTTTCTTTTCTGTCATAGGTCTGTCTACTTTAAATCACAGAAACACACGCAGGTCTGTGGGTTCTCCTCAGCCTGCTAACCTGACACAAAAGCCTTCCTAGTCCCCACTTTGCTTTGTAGGTCTTTCCCTCAATGTCTGCTGTACCTGCGTTCTCTCACCCCTAGTCAAAGCTTTTCTGTAGCAGCTGAGTCTGGCAGACCTGTCCCTGTTGCAGAACTTCCCACCAGAGAACAGTTGAGTCGCTGGTTTGTCCTCTCTTAATTCTTTAGCTGGCAGAGAAAACGAACACAATCAAGACCTCAAGACCCTTACACCAAGCAGGACAGAATACAGGAGGGGTCAGAAACCCCGCTTGCTCTAAGATCCTGAGAAATCTGACAGCTTCCACTTGAGAATGGCTCAGCTAGTGAGGCATGCTTCCCCACCAAAGCTGCTCAGTGAGCTCCCAGCTCCACTGCAGCAGCAGGCAGTCAGCTGACCATCATTAGCTTGTAGTCCTGGACCTTGAGCTATCATCTACTCCGCGCTCCCCAGACAGCTCTCCTGTCCCAGAAGCCCCAAGACGGACTCGGGCTGCACGTCCTAAGGAAACCATCACTCAGGTCGCAGTCCCTATAGCCCTCTCCTCAGCCCTGACCTGCAAACTCCCGCGTCCCAGCAGGTTCAGCACTGCACCTCCAAGGCAGCTTCTCCGCCCTCCCACCCCGCCCAGGTCCGCTCTCTCCAAGACAGACCCGCACCGGGCACAGAGTCTCAGGCTGCGCTGCACCCTGCACCAACCTCCAAGTCAGAGACGCAGCAGGAGATCCAGCAGGGCAGAACTTGCGCCCAACTTTGAGGAAGACGCACGTGTAAAACCTAAATCCGGAAAAGGCTTTCCTGGACGTCTCTATGTGACGTCACAGTCGGATGGACTACATTTCCCAGAAGTCTGCTGGAATGACCTACTGTGCAATGCTGCTTACTCTTCCTGTGTTTGTATCTGGCTTCCCGCAGTGCAGGATGGGAGGAAGACGCAGCGTCCGCTTGAGCAGTGTTACCTGGAATGTCTGATTAAAACAAGTTTGTGTTGTGCTTTGTTTTGTTTTTAAACAGGAGCACCTGTTTCACTTTTAAAGTCGATATTTCAGAGAGCAGTCCCTCGTTAGCTTTTGAGGTCCCTCTTCCCCAAACATTGGGGTTAAAAAAAGAAAAAGCCATCCAGGTAATTGTTGGTTGGAAAAGATCTAAAGAAAACATCAGGTGTGTCATAGAAAACATCTGTCGAATTAACTGGCCGTTAGAAATTTAAAAAGAAGCTGAAAGCTATCTGGAGAAACATTCTCACAAGGCAAAGCACAATTATTTTTGTTCCGTATATAGTAGGCATGCATCATAGTGTCGCTTCATCACAGTTGAAACATATTTTTCCCGGTGCTTTAGTCTTAGGAAACAGGAACTTAATTCTTGTAATGTATGGTGAGTTAATAACAATGTATAAAAGTCTGGTTTCTTACCAACCATGTAGCCACTGTTTTCGTTGGTTTCAAATAGCCATGGGGATTCATTGTGGTGTTCACCTCCAGATACACAACTCAAGAAGTCTGAATGTGAGTCAAGACTTACACATAATTATCAGGCTCCCAGGTCATTTCTGGTCTTTTAATATTAGTACACTATTAAAACTCACAATGGCTCTGTTGTGCTTTAAAATAATGAAGCAATAGTGTGTGAGATAGATTTTGTATAGTGTGATGATTTGTCTTTGCCAGGGCACCTTCTGATTGATGTAATAGAGCTGAATGGCCAACAGCTAGGTAGGAGAGGACAGGTGGGATTTCCAGAGAGAGGGCAGAAGAGATGGATCCAGAGGCATCAGCAAGACAAGGGCCAAGTCAGGCATACAGAACAATGGGGATGTTTTTAAAAAGCCATGTGGCAGAACCTACATTAATAATGACAGGCTAATTCATAAGAGCTAGTTGGGGGGACAAGCCAAAGCTAAAGACCAAACTTTGATCATGAATAAGATGTTACCCTGTCATTTGTCAGCTCACAGTCCAGATAACCATCCAGACAAGTAAGTAAAACTGTACAGTACACTGATGTGGGGGAGAAGAATATTTATTATTATTATTATTATTATTATTATTATTATTATTATTATTATATTTATTATGTATACAGTGTTCTGTCTGCATGTTTGCCTGCAGGCCAGTAGGTGGCACCAGCTCTCATTACCATGTGGTTGCTGGGAATTGAACTCAGGACCTCTGGATGAGCAGCCAGTGCTCTTAATCTCTGAGCCATCTCGCCAGCCCAAAAGTATCTTTTTACAATGATTTTGAAACCAGCCCTGGTGAGCCTGAATGTGCTTCTAAATAATCACAGGCTTCTGAAAAATGGACCTGATCCAAACCTGGATGGGAATAATTAGAGACCTTGCCTATAAAGAAAAAGGAAAAAGCAAAGAAAAAACCAAAACAACACAGAGGAAGAAAATAGAAACAATAGCAACAACAACAAACAAGAAAAAAATTAAAATAAATCAACTATGTAAACAAAACATTCATGGCAAAGCAGTTTGAATTTACTTTAGGCTTTGTCTTAATATGCAATCCTGCATATTAATAATCCCATGTTTCTCTAACTCATACTCTTCATGTTCCAGACATGGACCCAACTCCACAGTTGGTAAAAACAAATTTGCTGTGAACACTGGAATCTCTACAGGATAGGAGGTACTTGCAAAGAACTCCAAATCCGTCTCAGGATTTATCACCTGTCCTTAATTCCCTTGAAACTCTCATCTGTTAATCTATGTAAGAAATTTAGATTTTGGAAGGCTGTATTAGAATTTTAACCTTGCCCCTCCAATCCCCCCACAAACCCAGGTGTGTATTTGGCATTAGGTGTGCTATGAGCTCTTGCTTGTATTCCGTGCTCCCCCTCCAAAGTGGAAGGACATGGAACAAACAGGTGTATGTAATGACAGCTCAGCCATTATCCATTGTTGGAACTCCTTCTGCAGAGCTTCTTATACACCAAGGACAGATATTACAGGAACATGGATAACTCCACCGGGAAAAACAACAGTAACTATGCCACAGCCTAGATCTCACATTCTGAGCAAAGTTATGACATGGTAAAGGTTTCATGGAACATTGGCAGTTATAGAAGAAAAGACTCACACCACTTGAACAAATTGTTGGAGGTTATAGCAACGAGAAGTCTTTATTCTCTGACTGACACTCTTAGCATTTGTGCTGTTGTGAGATGTTCCTGTTGACATTGCAAAATAATTAACTTCATATTCTCCACTATGGATTCACTTGATTGGAGAATATCTGAATTGTTAACAAAGATTTTTACCACAGTTCACACACTCATGGAGTTTGTAGTCAGAATGAATCACTTGATGTGTTTCAAGGGTTGAAGAGGTAAATTTTTTAAGAGTTGGATTTCCCTCCCATATGAACTATATCATGTTTTCAATACAAATATAAACAGCCTTTAACCATTCAACACCTTTCTGCAGATTGTCTATAGAATGAATTTTTGTTGCTATTTATGTCATTCAAGGTCCTTGGAAAAAAAATCACACTATTCACATTCATAGGGTTTCTTTCCAGTATGAACTCTCTTGTCTCCTAAGAGACTTGTATGGTTTCTCTCCAGTATGAACTGTTTGGTGTTCCTGAAGATCCCTAGAATAGGAAAACCGTTTGTCACATTGTACACAAATATAAAGATTGTTTTCAGAATGGATTTTTTGATGTTGTCTAAGCAGTAAAAATGAATAAAATCATCTACCACACTCTGCACTTGCAGGGAGTGTCTTCACAGTAAATTCTTTGATGTCGAAGGGATGAAGATAAGTAAAAACATTTGCCACACTCCTCACACTTGCATGATTTCTCTCCCATATGAATTATTTGAGGTTTCTGAAGAGTCCTTGAAGAGAAAAACCTTTTTTCTACATTCTACATACTTTACACTTGTAGCTATTGTCTTCAGAATGTATTGTTTGATGTTGTTTAAGAGGTGAAGATGAAGAAAAACATCGGCCACACTCTTCACACTTGTAGGGATTCTCTCTAGTATGAATTGTCTTGTGTCTCCTAAGAGATGAGTGATAATGAAAGGCTTTGTCACATTCTTCACATTTGTATGATTTCTCCCCAGCGTGAATTGTCTGACATTCCAGAAGTAGTGCAAAAACAAAAATCTTTTGCCATACTTTGCACACTTGCAGGGATTGTCTTCAGAATGGATGGCTTGAAGGATGAAGGAGGAAAAACACTTGCCACATTCTTCACACTTGTATGTTTTTTCATTAGTATGATCTTTCTGGATTATCAAAAGTGATGAGCACGTACTGAAGGCCTTATGACATTCTTTACATGTGTAGGATTTCTCTCCAGTGTGAAGTCTCTGGTGTATGGAAAGTGTTTAATAAGAACTAAGGTCCTTAAGATATTCTTCATAGTTGTAAGTTTTCTCCAATGTATGAAATGTATGACTTCTCTGGCATTGAATACATAGTGAGTTACAATCAATGACCTTGTTGTAACAAAAGCTAGGAAATATTCTTCATACTTACAATGCCTAGATTTTTTTTAAATGTCTGTCATGGAAAAAATGTTTATTTTGAAATTATTTTAATTTGTTTTAATTTAGAAATAGAGGGAGGAGGAAGGGGGAAGAAAGAAACCCACAAAGTATCCAGGTAACAAAAAAACCACAAAGTATTCAGCAACTTTTTACTTCATGAGCTTTTCACACCCTCATTTGCTCACTAGTTCCCATGAAGAGAGAGCAATCAGCCACCCACAATAATGTTATTAATAGGAATATGGATCAGTTTCACAAAGAAGCCAGTGAATCCCATGATAGCAAATCCTATGGCTGTGGCCATGGCAATCTTCTGGAATTCTTTTCTATCGGGTTTGGTGCATCTTTTAACCAGCCGAATTGAGTCCTTGACGAACTGCCGACTTGGCTCAACAAACTGCATTACCTGGTCCATGACTGGTTGCGTGATGTCGGTTTGAGAAGATAGAACCAATGCCTAGAATTTTAAAGGAAATATTTACTCATAAATATTAAAGCACAAATGAGAAAGTATATTTCAAGATGTATAGGCACTGAGCATCAATGATAAAATATAACACGGAGAAATAATCTATACTTCTACTAGAGAAAGGGCATAAACACAGAATAGCACATTGTTCAAAGTTTAATAGCTAAGTAAGTTGTAAGGGCATTTTACTGACAGAATCAACACATCAAAAAATAGAGATGTAATATGGCCATATACCCATGAAATTATAAATTAGCCAAGCTTACTTTAATGTGATAGTATAAATTTGGGCCATCATCAAAATAGAAAATATTTATCCTACACAGAGTTTTATTTTGGAAGGTACAAAAGATAGGCCACAGAAGAAGTAGATGCTCCACTTAGACCATCATAAACGTCTGAGAGACATGCTTTGGCAACAAGAGAGACCTAAAGAATGATATCTATAGAGTCATGTTTCTAGGCACATGGGAAAGCCTACCTTTCTGTTGAATATTTGGTTCTCAACTTTGACCCTGACCCCTCATTCCTACACACCTGTGTGCACGGTGGCTGCTACTTGTCTCCTCACACCTGAAGGCTCTTGTCTTTGTTCCAGAAATGTAACCAGATGTGGCTTAGGGACAGCAAGACCTGTTTGTAAAAAAGGGAACAGGATTGTTTGGTTGTTCTTCTACTGGGAATTGACATGTCCCTTTCAGTGAATGGCTCATAAGGTAAAAGATGATGTAATAAATGACTCAAACAATTAGTTTTGTAGATGTTTTCTGACAGATTACTACAATACATAAAGGAATTTATAACATCCAGATTCTGAGGTTCATTTAAAAGGAGAAACTGAATGTGAAAAACTTTAACAAGTATACTCTATGTCTCATGCCACTGAATTCCTAACAGTCCCACAAGCGAAGGAAACATATATCCAACACAGAAAGTTTAAAAACAAAAGAGAAAAGCAGTGAAATGATTCTTTTTTTTAATGATTTAACATTATTTTCTATGTACATCGGTGCTTTGCTTGCACATATGTCTGTGTGAGAGTGTCAGATCTTGAAATTACAGACAGTTGTGAGCTGTCGTGTAGGTACTGGAAATTGAACTCCTGCCCTTTAGGAGAGTAATCAGTGCTCTTAAGCACTGAGCCATCTCTCCAACCCTGACATGAGTCTTAATAGAGCAATCTCCCTAATTTGTCTGAAAATGAAGCATATAAAACTCGCTGTTGAAATGTTCCCATGAGATACAGTACAAAGTGAGGAAGCCACATGTTGATGGTGAAATAAGAATTCACTGTGGATGAGATCCCTCACCCAGGAAATCAAGGTGGCTGTAATTCTCCAATATCACATCCCTGTACCGATTCCACTGAGCACATCCCAGGCATTCCCTTTCTTCCGGAGAGAACTCAATGGCCACGTCCTGAAAGGACAGCTTTTTTTTTTTTTTTTTTTTTTTTTTTTTCAAACAAAGATCATTTTTTGATAA